AAAAAAAAAAAAAAAAAACGAAGCCTGCTTCTCCTCCTCATTATAATGGGATGGGACCCAAAGTTCACCCAAAGTTCATAGAGCGTCATACTTAGGCAAAGCCTTCTACATGGGATCCTGAAATAGTGCTGCGGTTTGGGATCTTGCCCTAATCCATATGAACCATGTTGAAAACTCATTAAAGGGGGGGTATATAGGGGATTATATATGGGGACTACTATAGGAGTTATTAAGGGGGATACTAGCAGTTTAGACTATAGCTCATGGGCTGCTCTCAAAATTGTGGGCCCCTTTTTGGTTATAGATTATACTACGGCACCGAGTATCTAGGGGTACCAAACTTGGACCATAATTTTGGGAACTACCCAAATGTGCGTCCAAAAGAGGAGGCCGCCAAATCTGCCTGAGACCACTCGACTGCCCGAAGCTCTCAACCGCAAAACGCTGCGGCCTCATAAGCCTCAAGCAAAAGCAAAAGCCCCGAAACCTTACAGTCTCCCCTAAGTAGATCGAATATGGGGTATTTGGGGATCTTATTATAATCTACCCAAAGCCATATTCTATCTACTTAAGGGGGACTAGAAACTTAAACTAGAAAATGTGTTGAACATAACACTTGCTGGTGATCCGAAGGGAAGGAAGACATAGAATATGCGACAGGTTCCATTCTTTTAACCACAAGGGCAGAGATGCCCCAAGCCCTAAACCCAAAACACCAAGCACTCAACCCTACGCCCTAGACACCAATCCCTATATCCTTAATCCTAAAAACCCAAATATCACACAAAACCCTAAACGCCAATGCCACCCCCCAAGATAACAAGCAGGTGGAAGAGTGGCTACTGCGTAGGGGCTTTGCAGATCCCAACGCGTCGCGCCCGCAACGCCCGGCCTCGACATCATGGGGATCAATCTCGTCAGGTCAGGGCGAGGGAGGGGGTGGTGTTTAGGGTTCAGGGGTGTGTGTTTAGAGTTTTCAAATTATGAATGAACTAGGGGGTTTGGGGAAGTGTTCAGGGATTGCGGTTTGGGGGAATAGGGGATTTAGGGATTGTGGTTGAGAGATTCGGGGTTTCTGGGTTAAGGTTTCGGCAGAGTTCTGGGCTAAGGGTTTAGGGATTTGGGGATGTTGATTTAAGGAGTGTTTAGGTGGCTCATGGTGTTGCTTAGTCGCCGCTTTGGGGATGCTGGGGGTTATATGGTGGCCTGGGATTTCCCATGTGTGA